GATAGATCTGGACCTTGAGAGGTCCAAAAGGTCCCAAGCTTCTAGATTTATGAGGTTTCATGTAAGCCTTGAGAGTAGAACCCCATTCTAAAGGCTATTTCTCCATTTTTGGTCTTATATGCATTGCATGAACGTAAAGTTTGAACCTTTACGTGACTTTCGAGTGTTAGAAGGTTGGATCTACTGGTTGGTGAAGCAGATCTGACCTCAAAAGATCGTTTGAGTGTTTTCATGGGAGGAACTCGTCGAGCCCATAAGGGACTCGACGAGTCGAGTCGGGTTGCCCCGCGATTCGCGACCTGTGATAACCCGTTGAGTGTAGGGTTGACTCAGCGAGTCGAGTGGGGACCAGGGGCGAAGAGGACATGCATGTACTCGCCGAGTCACATGAGTGCACTCGACGAGTCTGGTCAAAGTTTGACCGTTGACTTTTGTTGACTTTTAGGGTTTGGTCAATGTTAGGGTCTTTGAGCCATGAGAGGGGTAAAATGGTCTTTTACCCTTCTGAGAGTGCTAAGAGAGGGATTAGTCTAGCCTTGAGGGTTGTATTGATTAGAGTGCTTATTCCATGTGATTAGGCGGGGGCTAGACCAGATTTTACCGAGTTCGAGATTTACCGAGTTACCCGAGGTGAGTCTTCTCACTATACTTTACCTAGAGTGGTAATTAGAGTTATGTGACAGAGTATCTTGTATGCTATTTATGTGATTGTGATACACTGCATTATTTCTATGTGATTCATGCCGTGTATGTTCCAGAGTTTACAGAGTTAGAACCGGAAGGTTCACAGAGTTAGGACCAGAGGGTCCACAGAGTTAGGACCGGAGGGTCCACAGAGTTACAGCCTCGAGTGGCTAATATGGGTTATATGTGGTATTTTGGGGAACTCACTAAGCATTTATGCTTACAGTGTTGTGTTATGTGTTTCAGGTACCAGTGAGGATCGCGGGAAGGCGCCGGCATGATCAGTACACACATGAGGAGTTTTTATACATTATGGTCTTGGGTTGTGTTTCTATGGATTGATATGTGATACAATGATATTTTTATAATAATTATGAATGAAAGTATGCTTTTAAAAATGTGAAAAATTGTTTGAAAAATTACGGTGTTACAACCCATAAATCATCATTTTTTACAAAATAGTTTTCAAAACATGTTTAATATCAGAGTTTTCCCAAAATCATAAAACAAACACGATGTAACTTTCCAAAAATTTCATCAAATTTTAACTCAAAACAACCCATTTATTTACAAAAGTGTTTACAAAAGCATGATCTCCAAAACATGATTTAAAATCAGAGTCTCCCAAGACCCAATCCATTGTAAAACCAAGGATGTGTACGGTCACACCTTCTCCTTGCCACGAATCATCTGAAGAACCTAAAACCATAAACAAAACTGTAAGCACAAAGCTTAGTGAGTTCCCCCAAAGTACCAACACACAAACAAATAGCACATATACAACAACAACATGCATTGGGTCCACAACTAAAAGACTGGATTACCCCTGAGCCCACAGTATGAGTATGGCTTGCCTATCGGGCCCACAGCTCATATCTGGCCTGCTCTTGAGCCCACAACATAAGTTTGGCTTGCCCTCGGGCCCACAAATTATGTCTGGCTTGCTCCCCAACCCAAAAAGTCTTCGGACTGTAATACCAATGTTCAGCCCTCAGTACGAGTCTATCTTACCAACTGTCCTCAGATCGTATCTAGAATGCTACTAAGCCCTCAGTATGAGTATGGCATCCTCTGCCAATCCCTCAACTCATATCTAGATTTCTCTAATACCTTCAAGTCCTCAGTACGAGTCTGGCATACCACCGGGTCCTCAACTCGTATCTGGAATGCACTTGAGTCCTCCATATGAGTCTGGCATGCCCTACCCGGCCCTCAGCTTATATCTGGAATGCTCCAGGGTTTTTGGCTACAGCATGAAGCAGTACAACCTCAACCCAACATAATATGCCAACGGATAACAAACATATACAGATAATCATGCAGGCATAATCATAGGTAGTCCTACTAATCTACCAGTCTAGCATATCGGCAACTAGCATATAATCATGCAGATCTATTCCATACTCGACATATCGGTGAATAGCAGGATATCAAACCAATGGGTCGGCCTTGGTGCCTTCGACCCGTAAATACAGTGAGGAAAACTCACCTCGCACTGCCGAATCATACAGACGATCCCTAGTTGCTGGTTGACATAACCCCGAACCGCCAATATCAAGACAACACCCCCACCAACAGCTGATCTCACAAACAATCTCTGACTGCAGATCCGCTAAAATCCACATGCTATCAAATCCCCAATGATAACCCATCAACATCCAGCCCCTGACTCACACTATGAGTTCAAATTAGGGTAAAAGACATTTTTACCCTTCCACAAGCTTGGCCCAAAGCCAAGGCCAAAACAAGATGACTAAAGGCCTAAAATCCAAAAATAAACATCTAAGGCCCAAATGTGGCCCAATTTTCCAAATTGGGCTCAATTCCTTTCGTGGTCCTTCACCCAAGAAAGTGCAACAGGACAAAAATTCCAAACCATAAAATCCAGACGGCCCAACATGGCCCAATACAATCTAAGCCCAAAACCGAAGCCCAAAACGAAGAGGCCCAATAGTGCCGCGTACGTGAGGCGTACTCCGGAGGTTCGCTCAGCGTACACGAGGCTGCGCAGAATCCACCATTGGGGTGACTGATTAGGTACGTGAGGCGTACCCTCACAAATCATAAGTGCTTAATGGCTTCATCACTTAAGCTAACACTTCAGATCCAAGGTCCATAGGTATACTAGGGTCATAAAGTCTCCAATTTTATGACCTTACACGTCCATAAAGCTCTTAATACGAGGTCTTAATCCATTAAGACCCTTCTACCAAAAGCATGAGACACTTCTAGCCATTGGGACCTCATTTTTATGACCAAGGACCCCTCTAAGGGTCTGAAAGGACGACTCAAAACATGACATGCTCAAGATGGAGCATTTGGGACCAGAAAGAAGCATAAAAAGACCCAAACATTAGATCTATCAAATGAACCATAAAAGTATGAACTTTATACCTTTAGATGATGGAGAAAAGAGCCAAACTTCCAGATCCAATCCTTGCTTCAAGCTTCCAAGCTTCTTGATGCACCTTTCCTTCCTCTAAAACACCAAGAACACACTTTAAGGCTCAAAATCACACTTAAGGGGGGTTAGGGTTTTGCAAGAACGGCTCTAAGGCTTTGGAGGCAGAAAATGTGGGTATAAATGACCATAAGGATGCTTAAATACCCCTCAAACCCTAAAACTTAGGGTTTCTTTCGGACATGAGTACGCCCAGCATACATATGTGTACGCCTAGCCTACTAGGGCACACCCTAATACGCTTAGCGTACATACGGAGGGATGCAATGGAATCTGAAGTAGATGCTATGAAGGCTAATAATACTTCGTCACTTGTACCCCTACCTCCTAGTAAAAATTCAGTGGGATGTCGTTGGGTTTATAAAGTCAAATGTGGATCAAATGGTCAAGTTGAAAGACACAAAGCACGATTAGTTGCTAAGGGATTTACACAACAAGAAGGTGTTGATTTTTTGATACTTATTCACCAGTTGCAAAACTTGTGACTGTAAAAATGCTTCTTGTTATAGCTGCTGCAAAATCATGGGATTTGGTTCAATTGGACGTGAATAATGCTTTCCTAAATGGAACATTACATGAGGAGGTCTACATGGATATTCCACATGGTGTTCATGTTCAGGGGTATTAGTTCATTCCAAATACATATCCAAATTTGTATGTAAGTTACACAAATCCATATATAAATTAAACCAAGCCTCACCGTCAATGGTTTGAGAAATTTTCTCAATTCATGATCACAATAAGTTTTGAACAATCAAAATCTGATTACTCTCTATATAACAAAGGACAAAATGAATATTATGTTGCATTACAATTGAGTCATGCCTTTAAACTCAAAGATTTCAGTGCTCTAGGTTACTTTCTGGGATTGGAAGCAGCTAAATCTAGTAAATATAATAATCTCCCCAATGACACCCAACCAAATATAGAATGTGGAATGTGGTTTATTATTATTATTTTTTTTTTGGATGGTCCCATGTAATAATCTCCCCCAATGACATCCAACCAATATGGAATGTGGCATTGGTATGGTCCCAACATGGTTTACTATTTTATTTTATTTTTTTGTTGGTAACAATGAACAAAAAAAAAAAACAGTGCAATAATCTCCCCAAACTTGCAAGAGAAGTTTTGGGACAAAAAAATAAATAAATAAATAAATAAAAATAAAAAATAGTGATAAAAAATGTAAATGTAATTTACTTTATATAAAAACTGATAAATGATAATGGTCCCCATTCCCCAATACTTAAGTGGGTGCCTATGTTTCTATGCCCATAATCATGAAATACTATTGGTTGAAGAAGATCATTAAACGGTTGAACTTCCACAATTTGTCCTTGTCAAAGTTCCACATCAGAAAAAAAGATTAAACAATTGATTCATGTATCACATTTGATTTCGTGAGGACTTAATAGCATAATATATATCTCATCAAGTTTCCCAGAACTTCAAAATGGACTATGCCACTATGGTGACACTAGGCATGTTGCAAAAGGGTATTATTACTTATTAGTACACATATGATAACAACACATTTACACTCACAAACAAAACCCTCCAACCCAAAACAGTATCTCTATTACCATAAACAAAGAGATCTCACCAAAATATTACAATTTAAGCGTACAATTACAATCGACCCCCAAAAAATAAAAATAAAAACAAATTTCTTCCTATCAAGAAACCGATTCTTGATTTGCACCAAAAACCGGTTTCTATGTTCCCTCGTTGTCTACATTCAACGAACCATCTTTGAACAATTTCAAGCTAAGATTATTGTATCTCTCTCTTGAATATTGTCTAGATGCTTTCCTCCTGCTTTCATCATTTCTTCAAATTCTTCATAACTAATTCATCCATCCTAAAACCATCAAATTAAATCAATAAAGTCACACAAAAATGTGTTGAATAAACAAAAATAAAAATTGAACAAATACAAACCTTGTGTGTATGAACATCTAGAATAATTACAACAATGATCTCTTCATTGTCGGTTTCAATTCCATCAACTAAAGCTTCCCTAAGCTTTTCTTCCTCTATGTAATCACTTTTTTTTTATCAAAAAAACTCAAAAGCCTCTTTAAGTGAACAGAAATAGCAACGAACTCTCCATAGTTCAAGTACCCATCTTTATCAACATCACCCGGTACAAAGTAAATATCTTTAGTTACTTTTTGTTTTAATAAAAGGTATAATCATCTTTTTAGTAAACTACAGTACTTACAACATCCACAAGGAATTAACGATATGAATTAGGAATCTGATGACCAAGCTTCTGCAAATCCACTTTTATGTCAACCATGGGTATCTTCCCTTGCTTGTTACTTGTTAGTGTCCATTAAATCAAATCCTTGTTTTATCCCCTCCACTTCTTCCGCAGATAAAAGCTCAGCAATTACCTAAATTTATGATTTACAAATTTCAGCAGTTTGAAATAAAGTTTAAGAACAAAACCCAAAATTTTTTAATCTTTTTGTTATACCCTTAATGCTCTCTTCTTGAGCTTGTTCATGAATGAGAACTGCTTTAATCTTGCTTTAACAGTTTCACCTAAAGAAACGTTTGGAGCCTTCTTGGCATTTTGTATCCATGGATGATCTGTACATTTTTTGAAGGGTTAAAAATGAAATTTTGAATCTTATGGTCGATTAACAAAAACTTTTTTGTCCTCTTTATATAGGTCATAATGGTATAAAGAAGACAAAAACTTTTCACCAACTAAACCTACTATTTGCATTTTTCCACAATACTCATTTAACTTTGTTTGTACACCTAGGTCCCTAAACAAAACTTTTATGCCCTATTTATACAGTTATAAAAAAAAAAGTTTAGTAACCATTGTGGGAAAATATTGATGGGAAAAAGAAGACTGAAACAAAAAAGAAACATAAATAAAATGTTACCTAAAACTCCTTGAGCGGAAAGGCGTAAATTAGGGTCAGGATTAAGCATCTTTTTAACAAGATCTTTTGCATTATCAGATACCACAGGCCATGGATCCCTCTTGAAATTAACAACAGATTTAATAATCGCTTGTGCAACTCCTTGTTCGGTTTCTTCATTCAAAATAATAAAATGTATTTTTAAAACTAACAAAAAAAAAAAGAAATAATTTTGTGAAGTGTGAATGAAAGAATTCAAACTCACCAGCCCAAAATGGTGGGACCCCACAAAGCAAAATGTATAGAATTACTCCAGCACTCCATACATCTATCTCAGGACCATAGTTACGTTTCAGGACCTCAGGAGCCATGTAATATGGACTTCCTACTATTTCATTGAATCTTTCACCTTTTTAAGATTAAAAACATCTTCATTTAGCAAAAATGGTGAAGAAAAGTAGAAAACATGTACAAGAATTATGATTTTTGATAGTTTTTACCTGGTTTGAAGATCACTGATAGACCAAAATCAATGACCTTTAATGCTGCTGTTTCTTTCTTGTTTGCATACAGAAAGTTTTCAGGTTTTAGATCACGATGCATGACACCATGTTTGTGGCACATCTGTAGTAAGAAAAAAACACATTTGATTCGTAAAAACTTTCTTCAAGAAGTGGATATCAAATATGTTTATGTTATAAACATACAGGAAAATAGAGATGGATAAATCTTGACCTGAATCACTTCAACAATGGTGCGAATGACACCTGCAGCAGCCCTCTCTGTGTAATGGCCCCTAGCAACAATCCGATCAAACAATTCCCCACCTTCACATAACTCCATAACCAAATGAACAGCACTATCATCTTCATAAGTGCCCTTTAAGCTCACAATATTCTGATGTGGTGGCATATGCTTCATAATCTCAACTTCCCTCCTTACATCTTCAATATCAATCCTCGTTCTTAATTTCTTTTTTGAAATCGATTTACAGGCCAAGACTTCACCTGTAGATTTATCTGTACACATGTATGTAATCCCAAACTCCCCTCTACCCATCTCCTTACCAAGAACATATGTTTGCTCAATTTCATGTCCTGTAGGGTTTTCAAGTACATATGATTTGTATCCTGTAGGACGTGATGTATTGGGGCCATCGTAATCTAGAGAAAATGGGTTTGGTTTGTTTTTGCCCTTTTTATTCTCGTAATCAGTGGTGGAGGGTGTAGCACAACAATTACCCATATAATCGGAGCTTGAAGATCTAATCTATATCTTGACCTTAATTGTTCCAATTTCGGATTAATAGTATAAAGCTTCAAGATTCAAAGCGTTTTGGATCTTTACATAACCGGGTATCAGAAATTAGAAGGAACAAAGAGTCAAGAACAGCCCAATTACTGTTATTTATAACATAAACAGTGAAACGGGTCAAGGACGGAGGGCCTACCTGGAAACAAATCAGATCTTGTACTTGTGCTTTGATTAGCAGCCTGATATGGGTTTTCGAGGGTACAAAGGAGATGACAAAATTGGCAAAAGGATAGGAACCTGAAGGATGCTCCCAGGATTATCGGGAGATGTGAGTAGTGATTTGTCGACAGGATAGGGTTGAAGAAGAGGGATTTTCAGGGTATTAGCAACTCACTCATTATTGAGGAAACGGTCAACGCCTTCTATCAGCTTTTATTTAACGTAAAACTGTCGCAACTTGCTGTAGTGTTGTTTACCTAAACCCCTATTGGTGTGATATTTTATGAGAAAGTGACAAAATAGCTAAATTTCTTAAGAGTTTTTAAATAATATAGCCAAAACTTAGACATCGTCGACAATGTAACCACTTATTTTGCAAAAAGGCCATAGTAAAAACTAAAAAGAGGTGGTTAGTGTGAGAGCTTTTTGCATTTAATTTTTAAAAATTTAAGAAAAAGCTTGGAAAAAAATCGTTTGGCAACAAGAACGTTTAACTTTTAATTTAAACTAAAAGCGTTAAAATTAAACGTTAGGTACATCAGCGTTTGCCTAAACGCTCCAACCAAATTTACAAAATTATCCATATGGTCTTCATTGCAACCTATGTTACCTGAAATTATGGAAAAAAAATATGTATCTCTTCTATTTTATTTTTTGTCGCAGTCTTATATTTTTTTCATTTATTTACCATACCATTTTGTTATCTACTAAATAATTAGTAGAAACTTGTTGAACCTTTTTCATCTTCTTTGTATTTCCTCCTCAGTCATTTTATTATCCCTAAAATAAGTAGAAACATGAGGTGAAATATGGGGTCCTATTATTATACTTTTAAGAGCAGATTGACGGGTTAAAAGGCAAAATGTCTTTCTTTTAGGTGGTGATTGACTTTGATTAAGTCAGTTTTGGGATCTCTTGGTAGTTACTTGATATCTATTTATCTTGTCCCTGTAACAGTGATAAATTATCTGGAGAGATTGAGATCTTTCTTCTTCCGGGGAGCTGATTTGGATGATCGTCGTATGCATTGGATTAGGTGGGATAGAGTTCTTGCTTCTAGAGATCTTGGAGGTTTGGGGTTGGTAGTCTCTTTGCTTTTAATAGGGCATTTCTTTTCCGTTGGAAATGACGTTTCTCCCATAATCCGAATTTACTATGGGTTAGGGCGGTCAAAGTTTTATATGGGTTAGGTGATGTTTCTACTCATTTGATCCCGAGGAGAACTTAGATGGGTCCTTGGAATGGTATTACTAGGATGGTGGATAATCTTAAAGACCGGGGTTTTGATTTCCATAATTTATCTCCTATTAGAATTGAAGATGGGCTTTTACTTCTTTTTGGCATGATACCTGGAAGGGTGATAATCATCTTGCTATTTCATTCCATAGAGTGTTCGCTTTGGATAATCATCGTATAGCCAATGTCAGAGATCGCTTTTTTAATTGGTTGGGATACGGAAAAGCTTAGACGTATTCCTAGAGGAGGTATAAAGCAAGCTCAGTGGGATTCCTTTTTGGCTTTGATGCAGGATGTTCAGCTTCAACAGGTTTTGGATACGCTGGGGTGGTCTCTTGATATTTCTGACATTTTCTCTTTTTTATCGGCTCGTTTTGCTCTAGACAGTGGTTTGGTTACCTTGGAAGATATGGTTACTAGATAGAATAATTGGGTCCCTATTAAACTCATATTCTAATTTGGAGAGTTCAGTTACATAATGTTTCTACGAGAGAGAGAGAGAGAGAGAGAGAGAGAGAGAAAGAGAGATTATCTTCAAGAGGCATTATGGTGCCCTCAATTAAGTGTCCGGTTTGTGCTTGTGCAGTGGTGACTATTGATCATATTTTTACAGGTTGTTCCGAGTTGATAGATATTAGGGTCAGGATCACTATTTTGTGGGGTTTATTTCCTCCGGCTTAGTTCTCGGTGCAGTCTTTAATTACTTGGTTAGATGATGTCACCTTGCGGAGGGGTCAACGGAAGGTGTTTGATGCGATCATTATCACTTCTTTTTGGTGCATATGGAATTTACGCAATATTTCTATTTTTGGAACGGTTCTCCCAAAGAAATCTTTACTTTTTGATGAAGTTGTTGAAAAGTCTTTTTTTTTGTCTCTAATAGATGTAGTAAAGTTAAATTACGTCGGACTGAGTGGCTTCATAACCCCTTTTTAGCTACTATTGTGATGTAATTGTTTTTTCTCACTAGCTCCTTGCTAGTTTTAATATATATTTCAGCCGTTCCAAAAAAAAAAATTTATTTTATATTTTAGAAGATGGCATTTTATGTAATTTTATATATTTTAAAAGCTTTCAGCTACTTTTTCCGAACACTTATATAACAAATAAAAGCAACAGCTACCCGCTACCAATTACTAGTTACCCGCTAGTTTTTTCGAACACGCCCTATGTTCCAATTAAAGTTCAAGTTGCATTTTTGTGAAGATTGACTATGTTTGAGATAAAGAGAGAATGTATATGGATCCTTTATGTGTATTTGAAAACTACATTAACCAAAAAATATTATAGACGGTGTTATATTGGGTCTAAATTTTAACATACACGTTTTGAAATCGTGTTTTAAGTAAATGATATTATAAAATACTATATAATTATGAGTATTGAGTTTTAACGGATAGTTTTTACTAGAAAAGAAGTAAAACTATGTTTAGAATCAATCGGAAAATATTGGAAGTCTTATGAGATTCCAATTAAAAGACAAATATCGAAATTTAACGAAAATATAAAATTTGAAATAAGTAAAATTTGATTATTGAAAGTTGTAAAGAATCTCGTTAGAAACATTTAGGCGAAAACCTCATCGAAATCCGAGTTATAACGAAGAAGTTATGACTAGGGATGAGCATAGGTGGGTACCCGCCTCATTTGGCGAGAACCGGAACCGGCGGTTCCTAGAAAGTTCGAATCGGAATCGGAACCGCTCTAAGCAGTTCTTAAATGTTTAGAACCAGTCCCGGAACCGGCGGTTCAAGTTCCGGGAGCGGGTAACCCGGTTACATTAATTTTGTTAACTTTAGTCGATAAAACCGCAATGTAGTTCGATCCAAATCAAGTTAATTTGGACCAAAGACGGACAAAATCGGACCAATATATTCTAAACCGGTCTAAGTAACACACACACATATATATATATATATATATATATATATATATATAAACCGGTTCCGGCGGGTACCCAGCGGGTAGCGGTTTCGAAAAAACGAGAACCGGAACCGGTACCGCTTAAGGCGGTTCCATAACTTTAGGAACCGGAACCAGAACCGCTTAAGCCGGTTCTAGTTCCAAAACCGGCAGTTCCGAGGCGGTTCCGGTTCCAAAAGCGGTTACCCGGTTCCGATGCTCATCCCTAGTTATGACCAATCGAATATCCGAGACAAAACCGGCACGGCACCGAATGACGTAAAAAATGAGTTTTTGATAAACTACTTTTTAACCTTAGTGATCTAAATGAAAGTCGTAGTATTTGTTAAACCGAGAATTTTTGATAAAAAGAACGCCAAAATCTGACTTCGTATGAGGAAATTATGATTTTTCTAAGTTTCAGCTTAGCAGTAGACAGCTAAAAACTCGAATTTTAGATCGAGTGATTTTTAGCCGAAACAACCTAAACGAGAATTGAAGATCTCGTCAATAGTAGTACAACGGTAAAAAGACTGACGAAAACGGACGTTTGATGAAGAAGTTATGAATTTTTAACAGATTTTCCTGTCCCGGTCTGTTAAAAATAATAATATTAAAAATAAAATCAAAATTAGCCGACGAAGTCTAAACGAAAGTCGTAGAGCATAATTTTCTCTATGCGTGCATATAAAGAACGTTAAAAACGGAGCCGTATGAGAAAGTTATAGATTTTAGAAGATTGGGGCACAATTTTCGAGAATTTTCGCATGAATAGTGCCGGCCACGTGACCTCGCATGAACAGTAGCCGCGTGTCTCTTCCGGATTCGACCGAAGTCGCAGCCAACAGGCGTCCAACGCCGCCTCGCCCCGTGTCGCGTCCGAGCTCGCACAGGTGTCGCGTCCGAGGCCTGCAACGTGTCCGACGCGTGTCTCTCCCTTGCTGCTGCTGACTCGCCCTTCTGATCGACCAACTTAGGATCGCACCCTATAAATAGGAGGGCTGCGAACCCTCCCGAGTAAAATGGGAAATTAGCCATTTTCACCCCCTTTTTAATATTTTTATTATTTTGACTTCCCCCGAAGCCTCGATATTATTTCCAACGCCCGAAACACGACCCGAAGTGCCCGAGAAGCCCAAAAAAAATTTCCTTTCGGTTTTGAAGCTCTACCGTCGCAGAGCCCGGTTCTCAATAAATCTCCCGGTTTTCAACGAAGGAAGTTATATTTAGAGCCGACGTGCTGCCCAATTTACTATTTTTACCCTCGGTTATTTCACGGTGAGTTTAATATATAGGAACAATTGTATGTTATGTGTTATATGTGTTATGTGCTTTTCAGTGTTATTATTCTGGGTTATTTTCCCGTGTTATTTTTATTTATGCTATTTATGATAGCAAAGTTATACCTTTGACCATGTGATCAGTGAAAAGACTTAGATTCACGGTGGTACTGGTATGAAGCCTCTGGCCATGTAGAACATGTCTCCGTAAGAGAATGACTTCTATTCTATGGCATTGGCAGATGGTTAGACAGGGCTATAAGCCTGAAATCTACCAAAATGTTTAAATCAGAAAGTGTATGTCTTATGTGCCATTTGGGCCGAAGCTTTATTGGTGTATATCAAGTATAGAAATTGTCATGTCTCATTGATCGTATATCTTTGAATCAAATCATTGATTGATATGGAAATTTTATCTCATGATTCACATATGCCTTTGTTGTTCCTTGTTCCTCTTTGCTTCTGCCATATTGAAGTATATATATGGCATAACGTTATATTGTATCTATTATTGAACTCACTAAGCGTCACCGCTTACCCCTCTCAGTGTTTAACAATTGCAGGAGATAAATAACCAGTATGGTTATATACTATCGGAAGATGTAGAATAGTTTTTACTATTACTTTTGTATTTCGGTTTATGTTTGTATAAAATTACAATATCCTAGGTAGTTATGTAAAATATTAAAACTTAGTCGGTTTGTATCCAGTCTTTTGTAATCACTTTATCAATGTAAAATATTGTTTTATAAATATGCATGTAGCATGTTTTGGAGTAACAATTGTCAAGTATGAAATTTTGGGTCTTTTAGAAATACGAAAG